GCGGCCTGGCTGGGAACTGCCCTCCACAAACAAGGAAAGTGGGGGGTGGGGCTTCCCTCTTTCCTTGAAGCTAGCACTGCTGGACTGTGGGGGCCAAACTCTGGTTTGGGCATGTCCCTTCCTCCAATTTCTGATCCCTTGTGCAGATCTATTCATTCCTACCAGGTGTGCATGTGTATGTTTGTGTCCCTGTGTGTTTCTGGGTCAGAGAGTGTGTGTAGCTGGCTCTATGTGCAAATACAAGGATGTCTATGTGTGTGAATCAGCAAGCCAGCTAAGCGACCACATTTGTGAATCTAAGAGCCAAGAGGTCTCCTACATTTCCATATCAGTGACACAATGCCTATTGGAGCCTATTTCAGCTGACTTGTGGGTTCTGTGCGTGTTCCCATTTTGACATATGTTTGTCTTTCTCACTGCGTGTTTGGTTTGTGTGACTACGGTCATCCAGCCTAATGGCGCAAGTCTACTGCAAATGTGTGCTAGGTTGTGTGTGTGATGTGTGTGTGAATGCACTTCTGGTCAGCTACCTGAACCATTCTGTGTCAGCAAGAGGCAGGTGGGTTCCAACTTCTGTGTGTGCACCTGTGACTGTGTGTTGTGGGTCTGAGGACAAGTTCTTCCCAGTGATTATGAGAGTGGTGCCCCTGGGGAAAAGGCTGCCAATGGCCATGTCACAGCCCCAGTGATCCACAAAGAAGCTGTGAGAGCAAGAGTAAGGAGGATGTCCAGATTTCTTGAGGATTAGCTCTCAAATACAAGGAACCTTTGACTCAAGGCCAAGCCCATATCGTTGTATAGGGTCTAAAGAATCCAAAGCAGAGACAGGAATTTTACTCTTTCCTAGTGCACACTGCTGCTCATCCCAGAGAAAGTCTCTGACATCCAGAGGGCATCTAACATGCTTTATTTCATCCTTGGAAGTTCCTAGGTGGTACAAACAATTAACATGCTTGGCTTCTTGGTTGACAATTTGAGTCAACCCAGAGGCACCTCAGAAGAAAGTTCTGTCAATATGGAAAACCAACCATTGAAAACATTATGGAGCTCACTTCTACTCTGACACACATGGGGTTTCCATGAGTCAAAGCCGACTCAGCGGCAGCTGGTTTTTTACATCCTTGGAACCGCAAAGCAATCCTGAGATGCAGGTATTACTGTCCCCATTTTATATGAAAAAACTGAGGCCCTGACAGTTAAAGCAACTTGCACAAAGTCATATGTCTGCTAACAGGGATAATGGGATTTGGGGCTAAGGTTTTCTGGGCTCACACGTCCATGCTGGTAAGCTGGAAGCTTAGCTGCTACTTCACTGCAGACATCCCACCTGCCTCAAGAGAGCCACCAGAGGCATGGGGTCTCTCCACTGTGATGGCCAAACATGCTGCCTCTTCAGGCACCCTCCTCCACCCCACAGTAGCAGGGCTAATGATGAGGAGTGGGTCCCTCACGTGTTCTGCACACTCAGACAAGTCTCAGTTCTCTCATTGATGCACTGGGGGTAGTAACTGCAATATTCTCTCAAAGGTGCCCTCGTGATGAATGGAAAAAGCATTTTGTAAAGCACTGGGCCCATTGGAAGGAGCCCTGATGGGTCAGTGGTTAAAGCATTCAGTTGCTAACCACAAGGTCAGTGGTTCAACCTACCAACTGCTCTGCAGGAGAAAGATAAGCCAGACTGCTACTGTAAAGATTTACATTCTTGGAAACCCTGGGGACAGTTCTATTCTGTCCTACAGGGTTGCTATGAGTTAGAATCAACTCAGTGGCAGTGGCCATGGGCGTCCATTGGTCATTGTTCTTGAAGTTGTAGTAGCATTTTCAAAGGCTGAACATCACAACACCTGTCTAATGTCCAAAAATTTATCTTCCTCCAACAGGAACCGAGACAGATTCATAGAATCACAGACCATCAGAGCTGGAAGGACCTTAGAAGTCAACAACTGGTCCAAACTTCTGCAACCTGATTCTAGGATGAGGAAACTGAGATTTAGTTAGAAGGGAGAAATTTGCCCATTTGTGGGACCACAGCAATAGAAACACCCAGAATAATAAGCCTTTTCTAAGATCTTTTCACCCTCATTGTCTCATACCACCCCCGGACTTACCTTAGTGCTATTCCCAATTGACAGATAGGAAAATCAAGGGCTAGAGAGACTGGACCAGAGTCACTCTTAGCCAGGAAGATAGTGGCAGCTCCAGGTTGGGAGCCCAAGAGTCAATGTTATACAGATCTAGCTAAGCCTGGCATGAAAGATGCCTTCACTGTGGGTACCCAGCTTTGGTCCTACCTCCAGGACTTGGGAGAGGGACCAGGGAAGCAAGTGAACCGGGAGGCTCTGTGCTGCCTCAAGGTAACCACTTCCTAGGCCAGAGTGCAGCAAAGCCCAGCAGCCCTAAGTATATTCAGAGCTCCATCACAGTTCCTGTAGCTAGGGCGGTGCCTGAGGGGCCTGCTCAGCGGCCAACGGCCAACCAAGGACCCTGCCCTGTCCCACCTCATCCCTCAGGCACTAGACAAGGATTTGTCCTAGAACTGTATTCAGGGCCCAGATGAGCACAGTCTGCCCAGGATGACACTTGTCACTGTCAACTCTGCCTAGCCACCTTGAGATCAGCCCCACTGCAGCTGCACCTGAGCACTCAATCACCTTCTTCATACCCCTCCCAGCTGAGACTTTATGCCACAGCCCTGACTTACCTAATGGGACCCTAGCTGGTCCCCCAGCTCAGTTCAGTGATCTGCAATGTGCCGGGGCCCTGGAATCTTTGGCTCCATTGGAGGCTAGATACAGGAGGGCAATGGGCTAGGACTGGTAACTGGGAGATTCCCTGGGATGCCACAAGTCTGGAGAAGAGGTGAGATACAGCTCCCAACACTCAGCCTGGGGCCAATGTGGAGTTAAGAGCCACAGTTGAGGTCCAAGTCCACTCAGTATCTTTCTGGGAGTCCTCAAAGAATTGAAGAAATTAAGAGGTACCCAAATTCCACACCCGGCCTCTCCAATTAAGGCTCCTCTTTCAACTCTTCTTCCAACAGCCCCAGGCAAGCCCGACTAAACTGCCACTAGGCTGGACAGCTCCCCGCCTGCACGCGGAAGCGCTAGCCGCCGTTCCCCAAGTCCATCCCACTTCTCACCTAGAGTAAGTTTCCCCGGGAGTGACCCCGGCCATAAGCCTTCAGGCTTGGAAGAGATGGGGCGGAGAAGACTTCAGTGGCGCTAGACAGGTACCCCTCGGCCCAGGGCCAGGGCCATTTTCCCTGGAGCCACAGCCTCCACCTCAAGGTCTTCTCATTCCGGAACCTGGGAACGCTGCTGGGATACAGGAGCTTCTTTCCTTCTCCCCGTAGCACCTCTGCCTCCTGCCGCCACAGTCCGCAGCCGCCCAGCGGTACTCACCTGGGCCGCTGTACCCGGGAGAAGACGTTGCCTGCGTGAGTAGTGAAACCGAAGCCGGTCCGACTCTGCCCGCGCAGACGAACTCACAGGGCCGCGGAAGTCCGACGGAGTTGTGACGTTGGGTCTAGAGGGAGAAGAGGGAAAACCGAGACGGGTCCCGGGAGGAGCCCGGAGAAGAGCTTCGTGCACGCTGAAAGCTGCGAGAAGCGAGACGGGAGAGGTGGGCAGCCGCGCCGGAACCAAGCCGAGGACCTGCACCGCCTCCTGCTCGCAGCCGCCGAGACCTGCGAGAATCCCGACCCTCTGGCAGCAGCATTGCAAAGGGAGAAGCGCGGGGCTGAGCCGCTTCTCGGAGCCTGAGCGCCTCCCGGAGCCCGCAGTGCCAGCCGCTGCCTCTGAACGCCCCGGCGGAATCCCGGAGGGAATTCAGCACGCGCGGAGTGTGGGACCGACCGGGCTCGGGATCTCCAGCGCGGAGGGAAAGCGGGGCCCATGCAGCCAGGACGAGAGGGGGTGCGGTCCCAGTGCCACCCCCTCGCCACTCCCCACGTGGCGGCCGCGCCCCCGGGGCGTGAGTGTGTACGCTCACTGTAGGGGGGCCGTGAATGAAGCCCCAGCGGCCAATCAGGATGGCCAGAGAGCGGGACCCGGGGAGCGAGGCCCAATGGCAATCTCTGGGCGGCCAAGCCGGGCGGCAGGCTGGCGCGGGGGGCGGGGGCCCGGCCCGGGGGGCGGGAGGCGGC